CTGGTCTGTGCACTACACTGCCCTAACACTACACATACTGGTCTGTGCACTACACTGCCCTAACACTACACATACTGGTCTGTGCACTACACTGCCCTAACACTACACATACTGGTCTGTGCACTACACTGCCCTAACACTACACATACTGTTCTGTGCACTACACTGCCCTAACACTACACATACTGGTCTGTGCACTACACTGCCCTAACACTACACATACTGGTCTGTGCACTACACTGCCCTAACACTACACATACTGGTCTGTGCACTACACTGCCCTAACACTACACATACTGGTCTGTGCACTACACTGGCCTAACACTACACATACTGGTCTGTGCACTACACTGCCCTAACACTACACATACTGGTCTGTGCACTACACTGCCCTAACACTACACATACTGGTCTGTGCACTACACTGCCCTAACACTACACATACTGGTCTGTGCACTACACTGCCCTAACACTACACATACTGGTCTGTGCACTACACTGCCCTAACACTACACATACTGGTCTGTGCACTACACTGCCCTAACACTACACATACTGGTCTGTGCACCACACTGCCCTAACACTACACATACTGGTCTGTGCACTACACTGCCCTAACACTACACATACTGTTCTGTGCACTACACTGCCCTAACACTACACATACTGGTCTGTGCACTACACTGCCCTAACACTACACATACTGTTCTGTGCACTACACTGCCCTAACACTACACATACTGGTCTGTGCACTACACTGCCCTAACACTACACATACTGGTCTGTGCACTACACTGCCCTAACACTACACATACTGGTCTGTGCACTACACTGCCCTAACACTACACATACTGGTCTGTGCACTACACTGCCCTAACACTACACATACTGGTCTGTGCACTACACTGCCCTAACACTACACATACTGTTCTGTGCACTACACTGCCCTAACACTACACATACTGGTCTGTGCACTACACTGCCCTAACACTACACATACTGGTCTGTGCACTACACTGCCCTAACACTACACATACTGGTCTGTGCACTACACTGCCCTAACACTACACATACTGGTCTGTGCACTACACTGCCCTAACACTACACATACTGGTCTGTGCACTACACTGCCCTAACACTACACATACTGGTCTGTGCACTACACTGCCCTAACACTACACATACTGGTCTGTGCACTACACTGCCCTAACACTACACATACTGGTCTGTGCACTACACTGCCCTAACACTACACATACTGTTCTGTGCACTACACTGCCCTAACACTACACAGTGTAGTCATACTGGTCTGTGCACTACACTGCCCTAACACTACACATACTGGTCTGTGCACTACACTGCCCTAACACTACACATACTGGTCTGTGCACTACACTGCCCTAACACTACACATACTGGTCTGTGCACTACACTGCCCTAACACTACACATACTGGTCTGTGCACTACACTGCCCTAACACTACACATACTGGTCTGTGCACTACACTGCCCTAACACTACACATACTGGTCTGTGCACTACACTGCCCTAACACTACACATACTGATCTGTGCACTACACTACACTGCCCTAACACTACACATACTGGTCTGTGCACTACACTGCCCTAACATTACACATACTGGTCTGTGCACTAAACTGTCCTAACACTACACATACTGGTCTGTGCACTACACTGCCCTAGCACTACACATACTGGTCTGTGCACTACACTGCCCTAACATTACACATACTGATCTGTGCACTACACTGCCCTAACACTACACATACTGGTCTGTGCACTACACTGCCCTAACACTACACATACTGTTCTGTGCACTACACTGCCCTAACACTACACATACTGGTCTGTGCACTACACTGCCCTAACACTACACATACTGGTCTGTGCACTACACTGCCCTAACACTACACATACTGGTCTGTGCACTACACTGCCCTAACACTACACATACTGGTCTGTGCACTACACTGCCCTAACACTACACATACTGTTCTGTGCACTACACTGCCCTAACACTACACATACTGGTCTGTGCACTACACTGCCCTAACACTACACATACTGGTCTGTGCACTACACTGCCCTAACACTACACATACTGGTCTGTGCACTACACTGCCCTAACACTACACATACTGGTCTGTGCACTACACTGCCCTAACACTACACATACTGGTCTGTGCACTACACTGCCCTAACACTACACATACTGTTCTGTGCACTACACTGCCCTAACACTACACATACTGGTCTGTGCACTACACTGCCCTAACACTACACATACTGGTCTTTGCACTACACTGCCCTAACACTACACATACTGGTCTGTGCACTACACTGCCCTAACACTACACATACTGGTCTGTGCACTACACTGCCCTAACACTACACATACTGGTCTGTGCACTACACTGCCCTAACACTACACATACTGTTCTGTGCACTACACTGCCCTAACACTACACATACTGGTCT